CCCTTATCGGTGATGAGTATAGAAATACAGTATATAAATGAACGCGTCTCATTAACTATTGAAAGTGTTGGCCCGACATGGACGTCAAGATCAACATACGTGTCACTTAAGGTTGTATACTCCAAAGAAAAGAAAACTACTCGTTCGACTTATCCTATATCATTTAAGTGGACAAGTCCTACCCTAGGCACTGTGATGAATTGACAGATGCGTTGAATTATGGGTAGGAAAAAGAGTAAACGGTTTGACGGGCGCATTGACGAGGTGTTGGAGCAAAATATGCAAATATGAACAATGAGTTGCGTAAAGCAATGAATCGCTGATCGAGCAATTAGACGAACGACCTATGTATTTAGAATGATCAAATGTAGTGAAGAACAAAGAGATTAGTCAACGGATTGTACGATAGTGAACAAATGAAGGAATTAAAAGCCAAATTGATATACAACTAATAAGTAGACTGGTTCAGAGGAAAGTAGACGAATGACCAGCTTGATGGAACGTCAACTGAGATGATGTTTATGGTTGCATACTGACGCGTGAACAAGCATTAAATGGCAAATAGCTCGATAGACAAAACAGTGTATTAACACTTAGAGCAAATATGCCGAAATGATCCCACGTTTCGATCTAATCTTGCCTTTTCGGGTACTAGATTGAGTTAGTTATAGTTTTATAAGTCGACCAGCGAATCCAGTAATAAGATTATAACACGAAAAAATCAGGTGATTTCAAGCAGAGATGGTGTGGAGGAAAGTGGGTTAAATCGAAATAGACACCAATCAAGGTAAGTTAATTTACAAAAGCAAAGACTTAGTGCCAGATATAAAGAGCTTGCGTTCGTAGGCCTTATTAAAGTAGAGCATCGAAATTGAACGAATAATAAGCTTAGATTGGATGAACCACGAAGTGCAGAACTTAAAGAAAACCTTGCGTGTTAGCAGTGAAAATGGAATAAGGTTCCTTGAGCGTAGATTAACGGAGAATAGTAAATGATTGACAATGAATTATCAAAAGAGGCACTAAATGCTTCCTTTCTCACAGCGTAAGAGAACGGCCGTGAGACCCGAGTTGAACTCGAGGCAGCCTTTATCTCCAGCCTCTCTCAAATACAACGCAGTAAATGTTCGTCCGTCCTTCGTGGTAGTGCCTATCGTTGCCAGCAAAAATAAAATGATCTTGTGAATAGACCATGGAATTCAACGAACTAATTCTCTTTATGGATTGTTTTAATATATTAAAGGGTGTGTTCTTTTAAATATGGACAAGAACCGTCACATTCCTGGAGCTCACTTCATCAAGTTGTAGTTACGTTGATAGCAGTTTAAAACGTATACTTATTAGATATTGTACTATATAAGGAGGCAAATCCTGCTTCAGACAACTTTACATTTTCCACTTGAGAAATTTTCAATTCCATAGTACATATTTCATATCTCCAGCCATAGTTGGAGAAGCGCTAACTTTTACTTCGTGTTACATGATTGAAAGAAAGTTTGAATCAGAATTTTTCTTTGTTTTTTTTTTTATAAAACTTTTAAAGTTTAGATATAAATTAGAGGGAAAAAAAAATCTTTTTGTCTTTAAATCATTAAGACTATTACTTCCTTTTCGTTACTAGATTGCTTTGATACTACTTTTGAAAAGCGTGCACTTAAACATGTTTGTGGAAAAACGTGCATGTTACACTTGAGTTAAAGCGACGACAGCAAAAGGAAGAAAAATTTCAAACGGTGTACATAATGAGCACAATTTTTTTTTTTTTTTTTTTTCAGTCCTTCTTATTTTTATTCTTAGAGAAGTGTCACAAAACTGGAATAGCAAAAAGAAAAAATTAAGCAAAATAACAGGAAAAGTAATAATAATTTCAGTTTATTCTGACAAGTAACTTTAAATTAAAGAATTCTTTTTTAGATAGCTAAGAAAAGAATTTTTCAAGAAAATGCTTAAATTCTATGCAATCCTTTTATGTTTTCAAGAGATTTCAAATAAAACGCACGATAAACTCTTATCAGTAAAATGGTAAAGAAAAGCGCAAATATATGCAAAAGCATGTGCTGTTTTCTGTTTTCTTAATCTTGAGTGAAAAAGAAGCATTCACACAAAAAAAAAAAAAAAAAAGAATTTTTATAATATTTATCTTCCATTAAGATGCAAGAATGTACAAGAGAGAGAGAGAGAGAGAGAGAGAGAGAACATATGTTCATCTTTGTTCGAACAAACTGAACGGAACAAGTCTTTAAAATTAATTACGCTTACTATGTGCTTGATCTGATCTGATTAAAAAGACAAAGTAATCTTAAGAGCGCATCCTTCGCATCTACACACATCAAGTTTATTCGTCAGTGTTGACAGTTTCCACGCAGTTTCGCGAAGCTTAACATTTATTTGACGAACAAATGCTCAATAAGTACTTTAACGTATTTGATGATTTTTTTCACAGATTTACCAACGATTTTATTTTGAAATTGTCTGTTACAGATGGAATTAACCGCAACGAAGCATTAAAAATTGTTTGAAAAAATCTTTTGATTTGAGAATATGGTATAGAAATGAAAGGACAAATCACTATTAAAGATGACGCTAAAGAACTAAAAATTTCTCATGGATACTGTGAAGTGATTCCTTTTTCTTTTTTTTTTTTTTTTTTATTAATGTGTAAACTGTGATGAAACTAATGATGGTGACATGTGATAGTAAAAGTGAAACTATTGAAGTTCCTTCTATTGGAAACATACACATGGGTTATACATGTTCATATAGATTTTTTTTTTTTTGCAATCGATCATTCTATTATTTTATGATTCTTGTGTACAATGTTTTAGTATCATCACTCACACCATACTCTTTGTTCTTTAACTCCGGTTTCTCATTTCCCAAGCTCAAAAGCATATTGACAGCATGAGATTCTTTAGTCTTCATCAAACCATGCGATGTCTATGAATGAGATTTGAAATTTGAATTTAAATTTTGTCATTAATAGGCGTACCAATCAATTCTTTTCATTTTTCCATAAAATTCAAATTTATTCAAGATATGCTTGCTACGAAGCTTACCGGCTAAATATGACTGCAACGATCTAATAATGAGAATTTGCAGAGAAAATACTACGGAGCGCAACAAAACATCCCAGCCTAAGTTGAACTTTACTTTCTGGGTTGCTTTTGCTCAAGACGAACGGACGTAAGCAAATTTCATCATTGTCAAGGCAACAGCAGTTTCGTAAGTTATTGCAAGACTGCTCGAAACCAGCTTAACCGTTTCCGTGACTTCCGTAGCTGCATTTTTTTTCCAGTTTAACTCATTTAGAAAAACAAAAAAGCACAAGCTAGTGAATGTCATCCATCTCTTTAAGCTTTGATACACACTGAACGACAGCTTAGAAATAACTGAAAATTACGTCGTTTAAATATCGTTCATCAACTAAATCATCTATACCTAGAATTTCGGGAAAATTGAACATGTCATGTCCGATTTATGAAGCAACCAATTTCAGCGGAATGGATTTATTTGTTTTTTTCTATTGTATACGGTTTCTATACATATGGATATATAAATAAATTTAAACTATAAACAAGACTAATCGCATCTTAATTATGCGCGTGTTTCTCATAAATGGCTGCAAGTCACACCGCGATATAATTCGTTGTAAAAAAATGTGGTACGATTAGGGTTAACGATACATAAAATTAATTTAAAAATACCCTGCAAGCAACCCGACAGGACGGCTTTACAGGAAGTAGTTGGTTTCAATATGAGAAATGCGGAGACGTAGTGCCCAAGAGGAACTATTTATTTATTCTTTTCTGACTAAAATATACATTCAGTCGAGTTAAGTAGAATTTAAGATCGAAAGCTTAAAGTATGATACAGAGGGATGATCATTAGTCAGGAGCAATAGTGAAGTTTAAAGCAATCAATTCGAGTAAGCAGTTTTCAATTCAAACTAAATAGTTTCTTACAATATTTTTAGACTTAACGCTGAGGCGTACTTTTACAACATAATTGAGAAGGGCATCGACGCAGAAGCAACAACAAAGTTAAACGTAAATAATTTATAATTTCTTAGACTTAAGGTACAAAAAAGAGAACATAAGTCTAAGTAAGTGTAGCCACGAAAAGTGTCAGCATTAGTTGAGTTCAACAACTTCGTTGCGTACATAAATAATATATTCTTCAATACTTCAAACTTAAATAATTCATTTCATTGCATTACAAAACATGAAAATCCATGACGCAACTATTTTTAGCGATCAAATATAAAGAGGCATTGCGTTTGCTACATGACCACTGTGTTGTACCCTTGCAGAGTGGATGTTTCCACCACAACTTGCTTGAAAATATGTAATAAAAAAAGTTATTTCTGTGGTACTGAGTACAGTACGGATGTTGTATATATGAATGATATTTAGTT